CGATTGTCACTTAAATACCACTGTTATTAAAAGCTTCTGAACTGTTTTTACAGAGCAACTGGAGACAGATCATTACCAACCCCCAGTGCCAAGCAGCCTCAAGGTCATTTGTAATGTGGGAAAGCCGCAGTTGCGCAGCTCCCCCCCACGCTCTTTGAGCAGCTGCTGGCTGCAGAGGGAATCAGACAGTGCAGCAGAGCCTGGCAGGCAGGGCTGGGAGCCTATGGCAATGGCTAGCTGCTCCATTTGCCCCTACCCAAGGCAGTCTGGCTACAGACATTACTCAAGTGAATATTTTCCTTTTAAGCAGAGACTATTTCATCTAGTAGAGACAGGTTGCGCATCAGAGGCTACCAGACCCACCCCTTCCAAGCCCTTATTACACATTCAAGTGAAATACCCACTGCTAAATGCTATTTCTTCTAGATCACACAATATAGTTCAGTGTTAACCAATACAACTCAATGAGCACATCCAGAATTCATACTATCCCCTTTCTTCTCTTGTCCCCTGGGCTTTTACAGATGAAGCATTTACCTTAGTCCCCTCACTTACCCATTGGGAATACAGTGGCTATGAAGAAAGAAAAACAGAACATAACTTTATATAGCTCATTCCCCAGTGAAGCCTCCGAGCCTTACTGCACTGCCTTGGTTTAGGGAAGGGAAGCAAAGAGCAGCAATGCAGGTTTAAGGTTTAAGTTCCCCTCAGTCAGGAGGAACATTTCATGTGGTGCAACTTATTTCGAGCAGGATTGCCTTCAAGCCCCTGTGCTTTTAACACAGAAGGCTGAGAACATGCCCACCCCCTACAAATGTGTTGCTGCAATGAGATGCTTATTTCAGCCTCCTTGAGGTGAGTAACCAAACCGCCTCCCCAGAACAGCTTGCACCAAGTCAAACACAGGCCTCCTATTTAGTTACCTGGAGGTGCCACTCGATCCTGATATTTGGGTTCAAATTCACTGACAGTGAGCAACATCACTTGGATGGTCCCAATGAATATACCTGCCAGGCAACCATAGAAGATCACATAGAAGAGGAGGATTTTAACTGCAAGAGAGCACAAACAGAAAGATTAAATCAAATCGAGCCCTCATGGCAGTCACATGTTTCCAGACAAAACTTCAAACCTCACCACTTGCAAGGAAGAGCCCAGCACACTGAAGTCAGACAGCAAGCCCTGCTGCAGAGGCATGTGTTTAGCAGTGAGATTATGCCTATAATGCCCACAGCCAGAAAATTTAAGTCACATCTCAGCTGTTTTGGGCATGGGGCAGGGTGAAAAAAAGAGAGAACCCCTCAACATCCACAAACCTATGAATCAGGGCTGAAGATTAAAACATGTTCTTCCATACCTTAAAAGAAGCCATCCCTCAGCTGACACAGCACTACTACCGCACAGCATTACCGGTGACACTGTCAGTGAAGTGAATGCCCCGTGCCAGTCAGGCATACTATGGGTCTGCTCTGAAAGACACCTATTCCACAGTGCTGGGCCTCAAAGCTGTTTCCAGAGGAATCTACCAGAACTGTTAGATTCAGGTTCACAAGCAACTATAAAGCCTAATCTGCTCTAGCAATTCAGACTGCTGTTGTCTTTAACAGTGACAAGAGAACTGGGCCCCAAATAAGCTCTAGTGCTTTATCTCAGATGAGGGAAAGTATCTAGACTTATCACATTAGCACACATTTACCAGTGCTTTTACAATGGCACTCTAGCACTGCTCATTCAAATTAAAAATAGTGAATTATGTAATAACGAAAGATTAAATTTAGTTTTGGTCTAAAGGGAGATGCCTAGAATAATCTTAGCAGGGAGGGAGAGCCTGGAGATGCAGCACTGCTCAGAATCTGGATATCAGTTACCAGTTTACAAGGATTATCTCAACTGATTAGCTGCATAGTTACATGCCGTACTAGGCATCACCAGGCAGTCTACAGGAAGGATAAGCCAGTCCATGCCAAGCAACTATATGCTAATCGGGCAACAGGAACAAGCAGACCAGAGTAGAGGCCAAAGAGTACTTGAAAAAAAAAAAAAAACCTGCTTGATCTCAGAGTGTCCTAATCTAACTGTAAACCTAAAATGGGAGATGTATTTGAAGGACTTGAACAGATACAAAGGAGGAAAAGAAAAAGCAGTGGGTAAAAGTATTCCTCCCTCCCACGGCCATCATAAAAGTGCTTCATTAGCAGAGAAACCTCCTTCCTGATTAAGACAGTCAGTTCTGGTTGGTTTCATTTCAAGTCTATGAAAGAAACTTGAGCAGGAAGGGACAACCAGCGATACAAAGGCAGAAGGACAGCAGCAAGGAAGGCACTCCATCCTCTCTTCTTTCTCATGGGCACCAGGGGTAGGGGAAGTAGAGGTCACGAGTTCAGTCAGTTTAGTGTCATAGTGGTGCTCCAGGAGTTAAAAGCACTCTTTGGTATCCAAGCAGCGTAAAGCAAATGGTTGTGACGTCAGAGATTCGGAAATTTTTCCAGAGCACAGTCATAGGAGGTGCTATTGTAACAAACGAAACACTAACACTGTTGTCTGCAGCATAACGCCTTTGAGTTTTACAACATCAAAAGGCAAACGCTGGGAGGTAGCTTATTTATTCAGTCTCCCAGCCAGGATGCTCTTAATGCCGCAGACACCTCAAAGGTCAGAGTCACTCCCAGGTTTCAGAGAACGTACAGCTGATCGAGCTAGTGACCAAGCACAGCCGGGTCGGATGAGAAACGGCTTCCTGCAACAGGTAGGCTTATAACAGAGGAATAGGGTCCTCAGCCCTCAGCTCAGGTCCACAAGTCGCAGGTGGTCCCAGGCGGTCAGGTGTACCCACGCATTGGGAGAAGGACCTGGTCTCCCCTGCATCTGAAGCACTGCACAGCTGCCTGGTACCTCAGGAGCAGAAAACACCTGTCCATGCGCACCCGAAACCCAATTCTGCTCACGTAAAGATACGGCAAAGCCTGTCCTAGTCCACCCGCTACCACTAAAGCGGGCGGCTCCGGATGCGGCACCTCCATCACAACAGGGCCTGAATTCAACATGGCCAGGGCAGCACACAGCTGGGGTTGGCAGCGGCTGGAAGACCGGCTATTTGTGTAAAGAAAACATTAAAAGCCTCTTAGTCTCTAAGGGCTGTTTGTACAGCGCCTAATAAATACACCGTGAGTGCTCAGTCACTGCGGCACATGTATTTCCCTGTCGCAGCGGCTAAAAAAAAAAACCCAATCGTTCCCTCACGCCGAGGTAAAATTAGCGCCGCTTCCTCTTTTTCGAAGACGAGAAAAAGAGAAGAAAAAAAAAAAAAGGGGAGAGAAGTCCGCAGCCTCGCGTGTGCCCCCCC